GCGATCCTTTTTTCACGTGGCGCGCTAATTTTTTTTATCTTTTTCATGCAAAGAGCCAACCTGAAGAGGAAACATATGCTGTTCTGAGAGTTGTAATACTCACCTTTCGCGTCCGCAACGGCTTCTCCTCAGCTTCAGAACGATTTGCAGTAAGTAACTCTTTCAAGTTCATAGAGAGCTCTCTACCACGCTCCTCCTCCAACATAATCTCAGCCAGCAAATCTCGCTTGCGCTCCTCAGACTGTCAATTCAAGGGGAAAAGAAGTGTTGTATATTTGGTCATTGATTCCTCAATGAAAGAAACTACCAAATAGATGCATATAGAAGTTGTACCTCCTGCAATTTTGTTGCATAACCATTCGTAAATGTGGAGACAGCACGGTGATCATCATGGGATTTCCGCTGGGAACCATATTCGGAGTTCCCCAAAGATTCTCTCTTCTTTGGTGTTGCCTGTTTAACATGTTCATTAAAGCAACAATAATACAACAATAAAAACAGTCATAGGATATTGTTAAATTTAGTCATCATATCTAATTAACCATTATAAAATCTTATTCATTCAGATTCTCTCAGTTTAAAGCAACATCCAGAAAGATCTATCCTTTTTATAGGACTAGAATGGTTTCAAGCAGAGAGTGAGCACTCATATATAAGTAAGTTAATGTAGTGCTGAGAAAAATAAATAAAAAATAATAGTTGGTTGAATACCCACAAACCTTATTTTGGGCATATACTGTTCGAATTATCCTCTCAGTTCCATGCTTGGTAGAGCTGGAATCCTTTCCTTCATCATCTGTGACTGCAGAAGACTGGCTCTGTAACATCCCAGACAATTTTTCCCCATCAGTAACAAAAACTATAACATTTCTAGCGTATGGAGTTAGACCAGAATATATCATACACAAAAAGATTAACCAACAAAACGATTTCTAAACAAGGATAGAATACCATAAAACCAAAGTATATTTAGACTTACAGAGTAGCCATCATGGTATTTGACTGGATTTTGACTAAAAGACCTCCTAAGACCTTGTCTATTATCTGAAGCCACAGATTTCTGAGAACCACTATTTTGACTCTTTCCACTTATGAAGGCTTTTCACATCCCTTGAACTGCTTGAATACTGGAACTTGGATCTACATCACTCTGCAAATGTAAAATAATTCATGGTCGATCACACTCCTCCAATATACAGTACACTACCCAAATACAAATCACTACTCAT